TTTCAAACCCTTGTGTTCTCCTGTTTCTCTTCTCTTCCTTCTCCTTCCTCTCACTTTTCTTCTGCTTTTCTTAACCTAAAATCTATTAGGGTTCAAGACTGATTGCAGTCTTGATCTTCTACTAATTTCTTTTGTACTTATAATTCTGTAACTAGTTTTAAAGGAAAGGTCGCATCTCGTGCATTTCCACAGGTTGCATGTAACTCTTATTTTCTGGTTTAATAAAATTTCACTCATTTATCAAAAAAAAAAGGTAAACAGACTGCTCATTAAAAGGTGTGATGTGGAACAATTTGTCACATAAAGCTTAAGTTTAGCAACCCCTTTTCCAAAGAATATTTACACACCTAATAAATTTTGAGAAAATGGAAAAGCATCAGAAATCAAGATCCACAACTTGTAAATTGTAGCTGAACTGAGAAATAAAATCTTTTATGTATGGCTTAACACAGACACAACATCTTTTATTTTGTTTGACATATTCAATGTAAGGCCTTTTGGGGATAAATACCTTGTTGACATAATGAATAAGTTTGTCCATCTGCTTAAACCATGTGTTTGCATATTGATACCGAAAGTCTGTTCCCATGGTCCACATTATATGATTTGTCCTTGTCATATTAGCCTGGAAAAAGAACAACAACAACCTGTTCACAAACTGCAACTATATGATGTGGCATATTTTTAGAATATAAATAGAATGTATTCTCTGGACTGTTGTGAGTATTTTTAATTTTAACTTAAAACATAGTGGAACACAGAAATTCCATGAAATGAGACCCTGATTGATATGGTATTAAATACTCCTCTGACTTTGATTCACCATTCTCTGTGGCCATATCTCTTTTAACTGTTATGCCACTATTAATTTGTATGGTTCCATATAGATGTTAGTTCAACATATTTATGATGATTCAATCCCAATAAGACAAACACTGAGGGAGATTTTCTTTTGATGAATAACACTGAGGGAGATTGATGACATGGGAAACAGAAGCTACTTTCAGATGGATGAAAAGATCTGTTAATTGTTTTGCTGACACATTAACCAAACAAATAATTTGGATTAGCTGAACGCTTTGGCCGTATAGTGGGCTGTTGAACCAATGATAATGCCCCACGCTTTGGAGAGTTATCATTGGTTCCACAGCCTGCTGAACAGCTATTGCATTAAGTTAATCCCATCTCCCAACAAGGGATTAATAGGGAGCAATTTTTCTGGGATTAAATGTAACATAATATATTTGATTTGGTCAGGTGGTCTCCAGATTGGTGCTTGGCATATTATAATAATTATTTCTGTTTTAACAAAATTCCTCTATTAGCAATAAAAAATGATTCAAATCTAAAAGGTAGAAAGTTCAAGAGCTTGCTGAATTGTATGTGCCATCTGATCTGTTATTCTACCTTTTTATGAAGGACAAACTGAAAGTAAACTACCAATCATAGTAAATTTGAAGCCTCAGCAGAACTTGAAACATGACAAAGGAGAAAAAAAGTGCTTGCTTACCTGTTGTATGGCTGCATTTACAAAGTCATCAACTCGCTCTTGAACATTGTAATCAAACAAAAGAACGTCATCCTTAAACCAAGTAGAGAAACATCAAAAAATAAATAGATAAATCGTTGGCTGTTGATCAAAAACCAATCTGCTTTATTTCATATCTTCTCTCAACGAGAAAATAATTCTCAAATACTAAAAGTACACAAGGACAAGAAAACAATTTAGACTTAAATGATAATTACCTGAACGGGAGGAGAGTCATCGTTAAATTCAAATGCGAAACCAATGGGAGTATCATAATGCTTTGGGAATATCCCAGTGAAAATCTGCAAATGCATAATAGCAACCTCAATAAAAAAAGAAAAGCAAATGCATATAGCATGAAAAGATTATAAAAGCTTGACATATGGCCAGCAGAGGATAGGAAAAAGCTAAATGGCTCAATTCAATATAAAGATATAGATAATGAGATCTGGAAAGTTTACTTATTTAATTTAAACCTTGTAGAAGAGAAAGAAAATAACCCAATAATAGATCAATGGGTTGCTAACCTGTGAAGATGAACCAAGAGACTTGGAACCCCGCCATACAACCTCAAGATTCTTCTCATCTTTCCGCTTTGCTCTGTCTTGGTAATCAATCCGAGCAAAGAAAAGAGAGTCGAACCCTAACTGAAAAATGAAATAGGTGCTTGAGAATACAGAACTTAGACATCCAGCATTATTGCTTAGACAAGTTATGGAGCATATTGAAAAGATTCAGTCTTCAACCTTTTATATATTATATCATGTCAAACGTGCATGTTCTTTGTTTTAATACAATGAGAGTTTGCTTACACCCTCCATTATAGAAAAGTAAAGAAGTAGGCCTAATCAAGAAACACAGATAATATACATATAAAAAAAATACCTCTGCTCCAAGCAAGTAAGCTTGTACTGCAGAATGTCCAAAAGGATCAATCTGCCAACCAACTCTTGGAATTTGATCAAACTCCTGTTTGATAAATCGGTGCCCAAGAGTTGTCTGATCAATCATGTCAATGTAATGGGGTGTTGCCTCATCGTGCATGCACATGCCACCATTTCTGTAAAAAGAAAAGTAAAAAATCAAAGTTTCAAAAAAGCATCAAATAGATAAAAGAGCTTAGCAAACACTATACTTGGTCAAACAAATGTAACAAATTAATCAAAGAAAGCAACACTCGGTAAATAACATTGACTGCGAGTATGGAAGACTAACCAAAAAAAATCAAAATGACACAAGAAAAAAATAAATCAAATAGAATACTAAAAACAATGGAACATAGTCAAAGTCCAAAGAGCTGCGATCTTCAGAGACCTTTGCTGCTTTTGGGGTGGGGGTGGGGGAGGAACTGAGAATTTACATGAATTCTAGTTGACCCGCGTTGACAAGCTGTCTCACAATACTCTGAACAGCCTCGCTCTGCTGTCTCCACCATCGCTGGAAGAAAGCCTGCATAAAAAAGTACATAATAAATAAATAAAAGGAAAAGACGTCTATATGTCACAACTGCCACTCAGACGATGCACAAAGAATAACCGGAAATACAATGGACAGGAGAAATTTTGAAAAGAAATAATAATTGCCTGCTCAACATAGATAAACTTCCGGTTCTTATCAGCCAACAATGCCGAAACCACAGAATCCAAGATGTTCTGAACACACGCTCCCTGTTGAGAAAGTAGATAATTATGCATTTCATAGCACCTACAAGTCCGCTAACTTGGACCTACATTAACGAACAGTACAATTAAAGCTAAAGAAGCAACTTCTGATGACTCTTCTTTTTCAGATGAAATACCCGAATTGAATTATTGGCACCAACGTAGTACTGATCAACCGTCTTCAACCATCCAACATCATCGTGCGAGTGAGGAACCAAATGGACATTCAATTTCCCAGGGACGACCCGTTGCGAAGTGTTATAAGCGATGTACTTCGATTCCGCACAGAAAAAGCTGGCAAGGAGAACAAGAAAAGAGCACAGACCGATCTCCATCTTTGACGTAGGTCAAGCGTTCGAGCTCTAACTTAAACAAACGAAAAGACGCGCAGCATAGCGAATTACACGATTTTATATCTTCTTGTTACTTCGAACCAGTGCCTTCGGTCACTTGCTGTGTGGACCTTCTGTGTTTAAAATAGCATTCCGTCGAGCTAGGGTTTTACATGTGTTGAGGTGATTAAGGGGATTGTTACTTTACTCTCCCGACGGGAAAGAAGAAGTTTCTCTGACGAGCTCCCATGGATGGAGAATGGTGCTTTGTCTGAATCGTGAGAGTGCGAAAGACCGGGAGGCACTTCTGATTTCTGAATGAATAAACCAGAGAGGAAACAATTAAAACTTCGCCAGCTAGACCGATATTTCTTGTATATACCAAAATTTCTCCTCACCTTTGTAAAATTACACTAGCGTTCCTTGATTGACATGGATAGGACAAAAAACACCCCTAACATAGTCCCAACTCCCAAATTGGAAATTGCTTTTATATGTAATGGTAAATTTATAATTGATTATCTACCGAACTAAGCGTCAACATTGTGGGTATTTTTGTACATGGATAAAGAATGAATGAAGGAGGATTAAGTTTAGAGGAGTTAAAAGGCAGTTGCAAAATAGTATAAATAGAAATATGTAGAGTGCAAAAGGGTTTTGTATTATTTTTTAGGGAAAATTTCTAATTAGTACCCTGTATTTTGGGTCTACTGCTATTTTGGTCTCTTAACTTTAAAACATAATAATTCAGTATCTCAACTTTCAAAATGTATCAAATCCAATACCTGTTGTTAACTTGGCATTAAGTGGCACTTGAAATGATACAAATGCCCTTTGATTATCATCTAATTATCTTTATCAATCATTCAAATATTGATAAAAAAATTAATAATCTCAAATCTTGTCTCTTTTATTCAAGAAAGTTGGGGTCACATCTCAATAGGCATTCTAGTGACCCCAACTTTCTTAAATAGAAGAGGCAAAGTTTTGTGACTATTTATTTGTTATCAACGTTTAAATTGTTGATAAAGAAAAATATATGACACTCAAAGGGCATTTATATTTTTTTGAATGTCACTTAACAACTGATTAATAGTAGGTACTAGATTGACACGTTCTGGTTCGAGTGCTGAATTATCATGTTTTAAAGTTCAGGGACTAAAGTGACACTAGACCCAAAGTATAAGATACTAATAAGGAATTTTCCTTGTATTTATACTATATATGTTATTTTGTATATTTACATTGTACATATTTGTACTTATACATGAGCACAAAACCATTTAATCCTCATTGGCCCAAGAGTGTTTGTCCTTGCGATTTGGATTAGATCGATATTGAGAGACATGTGTTGCCATATCAATACAAATTTGTATTAATCAACTCATATAGAAAAACCTTCCTCACAAGTTTGTATGGATGAAACCAAATACCTCCCTCATCAGTCACCACAAATTGGTTATGGTCTCTTATGTCCATAGCTCAGCACATCACATGGCAGATATTCTAGATAATGAAAACATCATCATCCATCCATCATTGGAGGGGGCTCATATTGAGATATCACATTTGCAACCCACAAAATACCCCACATGCACATCTCAGTGTGTATTGTGGACATCTCCCGAAGTTGTCACTAGGAGATATACCCAATACACAGTTGGGATATGTTGTGGGGCGCCCCTCTGTTGGGGTGCAGATGTGAATTTCATATTGAAATGAAAAATATGTTTAAGTTTAGGAGAAATTATCGATCATTACCTTGTACTTTGGCTCCTCGAATGACAATTTGATTCCCAAACTTTAAAATGCAACAATCTAGTACCTACCATTAATGGACCGTCAGTTATGTAGATCACGTGACCTCATGTGTGATTTAAGATTTTTAAAAATGTCAAAATCACCCTTAGAAATAAAAACACACTATTCATTTTTTCTTGTCTCCTCCCTTTTCATCCATCTTTACTCTTACTAGACCCGATCTACCCTTTTGTCTTATGTGGCTACGAATATAACAAAACTCTTCTTCTTTAATTTTATTTTTTATTTTTATTAAAGGGAAAATTATTGATTAGTACCTTGTACTTTGGCTTGAGTGACAATTTGGTCCCTAAACTTTAAAATGCAACAATTCAGTACCGACCTTTCAAAATGTGACAATCCAGCACCTATTATTAACCAGCCGTTAGGGACATTTGAAAAGTAAAAAATGCCATAAGAATGCTATCTAATAATCTTTATCATCACCAATTTTTTTGAATAGAAGAAGATAGAATTTGGGACTGTTCAGATTTTTGTCAATGTTTGGATGGTTGATAAAAAGAATTAGATGACATTAGAATGTTATTTTTAAATTTTCAAATATCACTTAATGACTGATTAACAGGTAGATACTAGATTGTCACAGTTTAAAATTTTAAATACTGGATTGTCACATTTTCAAATTTCAATTATTGGATTGTTGCATTTTAAAATTCGGGGACCAAATTGTACTGATTGACAATAGACTCATGGGCTTGCTTCTTGTATTATTCTTTCTTCTGCTACACGCAACATGTGTGTTGGAGGCCCCACGGACCATAAGCAAATGGAGGGACCGTGGGTCTAATTACTATAGCTCATCGCCATTTGTGGGCTTGCTTCTTGTTTTATTCCCTTGGATTCCTTCTTCTCGAATCAACCTGGGCCCAATCAAGTTGGATAAGACGCAGTTTCTTGGGTCTGGGGCCTATTTCCCGTCGCATCATATGGTCCCAACTCCCAACGTATCGAGAGCAACAGCAACAGGATCACCATTGGATGAATCCCACTTAGAAGAGAGACCCACGGCGACATTCAACCTGGTCCAACGACCTTTTTTTTTTCAGTTAATTCCCAGTTGCATGGGGCCATTCAAGTACTCAAGTAGTAACCATTTCAAGAGCCACTGAAACCATTAGAAAGGTTCACTTGATATCCACCATGACCAATACATAACCCCACATATCTGGTTGAATTTGCTAGACCAGTCCAGACTGGTCTAAGCCTGAGATGAAACAGGCAAATCTAAGACTGGCCAGAAATGGGCTAGACAAGCTGGTTTGTTGACAATAATCTACGTTCAAGAGAGTTTGATAAAAGTTTCAATTTTCAATATCAGCTGCCAACTGACACAATCCTTTTAATTCCCTTATTCCGATCTAAGACCAGTAATCTGAAACAATCCACTTTCCTAGTTCACTATGATTCCATGTTTCCATTAATTTGTAATGGTAAACCACCTATGTCTTGTGAGAATGGGTCCTTCCGAGAATAATGGACCTCCAACTCCTTTTCTTTTGTCCTTTTCTCTCCACAACAGCTGAAGTTATGCTTTGAAGGAAAGTTTGGAATGATGACAATTTAATTATTTGATTTCTTCCCCACCGTAGAGTCAATTGTTAGAAGTAGGTGTGTCAACTGGACTGGATTTGGTCCAATCCAATTCGGTCCAATGTGAATTCATTACAGATGGACCAGGTCCAATCCAATCTGATGAATACTTTGGACCAATTCGGACCAGCCCAGTTCAATGTCTAAACCATCTAATTTGTTTAAATTGGTTTTGTTCCAGTCCATACCTGATTCATTGACACTTATATTCTTTTATTAATGTACTAGATATTGGTTCAATCCAATATAAATCCATTAGGGATGGACCAGGCCCAATCCAATCCAATAAATGCTTTGGACCATTAAGTCTAGACTGGTCTAGTTTGTTGGTTCGTCCAATCCATTTAAATTAATTTTGATCCGGACGGATTCAAGTCAAAACTGGCCCATTGACACTAGACCTGTTCATGGGCCGGGCTGGGCTTTCACTTGTTATCAACATAATTTATTCAGGCCTGAGCCTGACCCTCATAAAAGCCTGAGCTTGAACCCGAAGCTTGAGTTGCTGACGAATGCCGATGAACTAGAGGGGAGATTGGAAGAGAGAGAGAGAGAGATATAGAGAGAGAGAGAGAGACACCGTTGTTGGGGAATGGGGAGGCGTCACCGACTGCTGTAGATGCCACCAACCACTATTGGGGAATGGGGAGGCATCGTCGGAGAGATGATGGAAACTATGTGTGGAAGGAGAGAATCAAAGAATGGGACMCATTGCCAGAACCGTTCGCCACCTATGGAAGGAGATCAAATGATACCACTGCTAGCTTCATCGGTTGTTGTCTATGGAAGGAGATCAGAGAATGGGACGCATCACCGAAGAGATTATATCGTTTACCACCTCACTAGTTGCCGATTGTCACCTGTGGAAGGAGATCAGATGATACCGTTGCTAGCCTGCTAGCCTACTACCTTGGTTGTTGGTCTGGAACCAAAAGGGAAGTTCCAAGCTCTTCTAGGTTTAAACAGAAAACAAGTTGAGGTTGAGAARGGGGAGAGTATTGAGTGAAAGTTAGGGTTAGGACTTATGGATTTAAGAAAATAATATGTATATGTGTGTGTGTATATATATATATATAAATAATATTATCGGGTCAGGCTTTTATCTGAAATCTCGAGCCCAGGCTCATGGGCCTAAGAGCATGTCCAAGCCCGRCTGGGGAGCGGACCGGGCCATCGGGCTACCGGCCCATGAAACATGTCTAATTAACACCCTTAATTAGAAGAATAATGGATATCGAGTGATATCCATTTAAGAAATGCCTCGTTTTAAATTTTCTTTTGTAGTTGGTCATTTAGGAAACTTATAGAGGTGTAAAACATGTCGTGTTGCCGTGCTGGCCCGCGGGTCGTGCTTCCCTCCCCTGGGATATTTTGGGGGGTTGGCCTGGCATTGACCCATAGCTCGAGCCCGTGCGGGCCCGTGTCGGGTTACACTAGACTGGTCTGTGGGCCAAGCCTTGGGCCAGGCTGGGCCATGGACCAAGCCAAAGTTATTTATTTAAAAAAAGAAAAAAAAACTTAAAAATTTAATTTTATATGAATTTTGATGTATATAGTTGCTTATATATACAATAATTAAACAAAACAGTATAACAAAATTAAACAAATTGTTTATTTTATTAATATATTATATACTATCTATTGTTATATAATTATAATATATATATGGGTCGTACCAGCTTGCGGGTCACGGGCGATATGGCCCGCTGATCTAAAACCCCAAGCCTGTCACGACCCATCAGCCCATACAATCATGCAGGGCCACGACATAGCCTATGGACCATCAGGCTGGGCCATCTCAAAATCGTGCTGGACTGTGGGTGACACAACCCGATTTTCACCTTTAGAAACTCAGTGTGTTGCTTTAGGATAACAAGTTGGTGGGCTCTCAACAAGGCTCTCCCCGCATGAC